CCACGTTTTGAATTACATGTGTGCAATGTGGTTAGTAAATGGAGGATGATTTTTTAAATTTGTTTGTTTGTTTGTTTGTTTATTATTACAATGTATTCATTTTGTATCCTGGCTGTAGCTCCCCACCCCCATCTACTCCCAGTTGCACCCACCCTCGCTCTTCTCCTATGGAAGATGATTTTTCTATTCACACTTTTAATCTTATAACAACATTGACAGAAGCAACCAGTACACGGAAAAAGGCAAGTACTGAGCCATTTACCTAATAACTATTAGAATCACAATGAGTCCTGTCGCATTCAACTCATAAGCACACCACACTAATAAAAAGAGTTACTGGCGTGCAAATAATCATGTTTGTTGCAATGTGTTGTCACTTAAGTTTTTTGTCTTGAATTTAAATATTTCTTTAGTACTCTGAAACAATGTAAAGAAAATGAACAAAAAGGGTGACCAATTGTTTTGTCCTCAGACACACTCAAAAATGCTAACCTCTTCAGGGCCAACAAAACTTGAACACTTTATAAAAAGTAAGATGAACAGATGTTGTAGTTTTTTTGCTTCAGAATATTGGAAAGTCCCACAAGATCCAAAGAGCCTCGGTAAACAGACCTCACCATCTGTCGCTGCTGACACCTGAAAAGGACATTCAAACTTGCTCCAGCGGCCTGTGTGAGTCCTAAGCCATACTGCAAATCTCAGCTTCATCCATTCTGGGATGTGAAGCACAACACCTTGCTTGCTTCTGTCTGACCACGTGATTTCATTTCCTTTTCTATTGAGGCTGAATGGGAACCGTGAATCTGCGGTTACCTGCTAAAGTCATCCACTAGACTTAGCCAACCAAATTCCAACATAGACGAGGGAGGTTCTGTCCAGGTTCTTCCCTCACTGAAGAGTTTGAGGAGTTAAAAGCTGCTGGCAGGGGGAGGACCATTCTTTTATGAATGTGTTCCTACTGGTAGTTTTTCTATTCTCCAGTGGATGGCCCTACACCCAGACATAAGTGAGCATGACTAAAATTAGTGGATTGCCATAGGGTGGGGATGGAATTGAGAGATAGCTCAACAGTTAAGAACACATAGAACCCACATTAAGCAATTCACATTCACCTGTAACTTCCTTTCCAGAGGATCCAATGCCTCTGGCTTGAACATATACACTCCATTATAATTGGGCAGAAACATTAATGGGATTTGAGTTGTATAATCACAGAAAAGAGCTGTTAGAAAAATTACAGTAAGTCATCCTTTAACACAGAGTTTAGGCACAGACTACCAACAATCCATAGCAGAACTGATTTTTATGATCACTTCAGGTAAGGAAAAAGTGTATACTTACGGATTAAGGTCACCAGGAGCGAACAGTGAACTGACATAAAGTCAGCTGAGGGATCAAATTTACAAAGACAGAAAATATCAAAATTGCACTTGGAATTCCCAAAACTATAGTTTGGTGTAATTACTTGAAAGAATATAAAGTTTGGTATCATTCAAACAATGCATGCCACTAATCTGTAAGGTGATGTTAAGCATTACGTATAATAATGCTTGTCTTTACTTTTTAAAAACCTAAATTATTGTCACTTTGGTTTTGCTTACCCACTTTGCTAAACTTACTTGCTAATTAGGGCTCATGTATTTACTTGTTAACAAGTCTATATGACCCAAGATTTGTGAATCTGTAAATGCCATTCATTCATGCATGCACTCACTCATCTGTCCATTCATTCAGCATTTATAGAACCCTGCCCTGCATGTTAAGTAATAAAAGAAATCAAGGTTGGTCAGACACGTATTACTTAATATGCTTATATTCTATAAGGGGTCAGCAACTCCTAGATGATGTTATTACAATGTAAAACTGAATGTCAGTAGAAAGGCACAAATGCAGTAAGGAAACTGTCCCCAAAAATGGTGATTTATACCCTGGGGTGCTGGAGGCTCACCCCAGGGTATAAACTAGAATATCAAGGTTGTGTAGCAGTTGGTCTTATAGTGACAGAGAGATTCCAGGAGAAGAAATCAGCAAGGATAAAAGAAATGAAAAACCACAGTCATTTTATTCAGTAGTTCCATTAATAGCTGCTACAAACAAACAGACTGGGAAATAAGGAAAAAAAAACTCTTAAGAGAAACATGAATTAATACTCCCCTGCTAAGATGATGAGCTACTTAAAAATAAGTTTCAAAAAAGTAGGGGCTCTCTACAATTAAGTGGCTGTCCCTCCTATCAGCAAGGAGAGGTGGGACAATGAAGACACATTGACTTTGGAGCTTCAGAAACCTAAATTATACAGTATCTGTTCTTGTCAACAGTGGGTTCTGTACATAGTACACACACCATCTGTGTTTCAGCCTTTTCATCAATAAAGTAGTTAAAATTTTATTTCAGCTGACCTAAAGGCAAAGCACACCATAACATGACCAAACACAACATATTCAGAAAATGGCAGCTGTTGATACGAATCCCAGTATTAACTGGGTTCTGTTGATTCACCAGGACAGAAGACAGTTCACACTGACTTTGGCCAAAGGGATTTTGGGGCTGGTGTTGATCACTTGTCTGCTCTTTCTACAGAGCTACTTAAGCAGAATGTGGCATTTACATGTCTTCATGTACAACAAACATTAAATACGGCCAACACAAGTAAGGGCATTTATTTTCTAAGACATCAAATCCCTGAATTCAGAAGGCTTCAGATCTGTGTGCTTTGTTGTTTTAAAGATGCCATTAAGGACTTGTGTTCAAGTTCTATGTTCTGTCATCTTGGTGAGGCTCTCTTTCTCAGTTGCAAGATGGCTGCAGCATGTCACGCTTCACAATGTCCAGAGGCAGAAGAGAGACCATCTTTCCTTGTGGCTGTGTGTTAGAGCGAAGGACAAGTTTCTTTAGAAGATTTCCCTTGCATCTCATTTCTAGGACTGGGTTACGTACCTATTCCTAAACTCATCTTTGATCTGATTTAGGATTATCATCCAAAATGGAAAAACAGTTGGAAGCAACCCAGTGTTCATTACACGTTTGTATGTAATATATAAATTAGATATAAGCAACGAGTTTGGGAGGCTTGATTAAGTGTTACACAACTGAAGACTTGGTCTCCGAATATGCTACTTATCTTGGCCTTAAATTCAAAGTTCTTTTCAGTAACACACACACACACACACACACACAGCCAAAGTGCCATGTGCTGCAGCATGTAATTATTCTTTTTTAATGTGTTGATAGGAAAAGACTTTCTGCCTAGCATCCCCGGAGTCCCGCAGACAACTTCTGTCACTCATCTGAAGAGCAGTCTAGCATCAAGCAGTCATTACCCACAACACAGCGAGATACTATCCCTACATCATACAGGGGATCTGTTAGCTCTTTCTTTATTTAGAAAAGTAGAAAACATGCTCCAAATTCATAACAGTCATCTCCAAATGGCACAGCAGCAGCTCATACATCCTGGGGATGAGGGAAGGTAGTAAAAGGAGTACCCTTCCTCCTCATTGTCTCCAGAGAGGTGGACCTAACCTGAAAACGAATTGGAGAAGAGGCACAGGGCACAAGATTCCATTTATCCTGGGTGAAAGTTAGGATTAGTGAACTCTCCATTAACTCTGCTGATGGCAGCTTCTAATTTCCCCCATGAATCTGCCTGCCTCAGATGGCTCCTGTGCTATTTGTCTTCATCTGCATTTGCACCACATTTCTGAATTCATGAATTACAATGACTTTATTTGACTTCGAAGGGATTTTCTAGGATGCTAAATTCATAAAAACTAACCCAAGGCCTCTTTTCTCCTCCTCAATATTTTATATTCAAATTTTTTTTCTATGCTTTAGCCAGGACTGGAGGTACCCAAGAAGTCACCTGCAAATTATTCAATTATCTGACTTCCATATTTCTTCCTGTAGCACATACTAAATAGGTGCTAAAATTCAACAATGTTGGCTTAAAGGGTCCCATAACTGCACGTACTGAATTCATGAGATGTGAACAGTTTTACACAAGAACGTGGTAGATTCGTTACAGTTGGAAATTGTCATTATCCCATTTTCCTAAACACTTACTGAATTTCGTGCTGAAGGCTAGGCACTGGAGACACAAAAACAAGGATAGCTTCTAGACCCTCAAAATTGGGACAGCCCAGGAAAGAATAGGACCCCTTTATAGAATAACATCATGTTGCTGTGGTGGTACTATGGTAGCTGTGGTGATGGATGCAGCGGATGGTATGGAGCAAGAGCTCAACACTGTATTTGATGTTCCTGGGGAGGAAATAGGAGGTGATGACTCCTGAGCCTATTAATTTCTTGTGGCAACCATAGCAAAGCGCTGCTTCAGATAACAGAAACTTACTCTCTTACAGTTCTGGGTTAGAAATCTAAAGTCTGGATATAGGCAGGGCCATTCCCACCGCCAGCTCCCAGGAGGAATCCTTCCTGCTGCATCATCTTTGGGGCCAAAAGGTGTTGCTTGGTACCTTTTGGCTTAGAGTTCTGTCAACCTCATCTCCACTTCAACTGTCTTTTTATCTTCTCTAAATCCTGTCTGTCCCTAAATCCCTGCATTCTTGTGGAAACTTCAGTCCTCGAATTCAGGGCTTGTTCTAATTCAGTATGGTCTCAACTTAACTCAATGACATCTAGAAATACCTTTGTTTCAAAGGTATATTTCTGCCATTAAGACTGTAACACACCTTCTGTGGGGGATGCAATTCAACACCAAAAGTATTGTGAGGAGAATACCGGTCATTAACAAGGCAAAGATGAGGATGAAAATGTCCATATGGAGAGAGTTGCCTGGGAAAAGAGCAAGTTTGGATTCAGAAGGCATACAAAATAGAGACTTCTGGGAATTTTCACATGTCAGGTCCTCTGTCACTTTTTCTTTCTTTCTTTCTTTCTTTCTTTCTTTCTTTCTTTCTTTCTTT